TTATGTCATTGATTTAATTTTGTTTGTAAAAAAAATATAATAATATTTTTATATTATTAAAGTTTTCTATTTATATTTAGTTCAACTCAAACAACTTATCTTAATTTTTACTACAATCATAATAACAAATTAAATACAAATACAAACGTCAAGTGTTTCATATCATACTACAACTCAAAACCATCATAAAATCATTACAATCAACCAAACCAATTGATTTAATAAGAACCGAAAAAATATTCAATTTTAATTTACTAATGTGGCATGGTCACGTAGTAAATTTTAATTATCTGTCCTATATTTACTTATCGCAATTCACCAAAATTTAACGTCATTGGAGATGGTGTATCAAATTGTTAAACATTTTGAGATTCGAGATTTCAAGTCTATACGATACATGCAGATTATTACCTAGATTAAAAATAAAGACTTAAAAATAAAAACGATCAACAAAATATAAAAAATGATAAGAGAAACATATAAAGAAAGAAAATAATGGTAAACATATTACGGATAACTACAAATTTTATAAAATTTATGAATAAATTATATTTTACTAATTATAGAATGGGATATAATACCTCATACTATTATATTTAGATTCATCCTTATCATCTTATTATTTTCACACTATGACAAAAAAATATTTTAATAGAATAATTTAAATGATAAATTTCAAACAAAATTTATTATATTTAATTTTAAATATAATAAATTATTGAAATTCGTAAATATTCAGTTCGCGCGATTCGCGCGGGTTATTACCTAGTATATATAAAAGTAGAGTTTGTGTAAGGGGGGTTTGATCACGTGTCCTTTTTTGTTAAGAATATGAAAGGTGATTTTCAAAAATCAAATCTCATTAAAAAAACAAGGGAATACACATTCATTGAAAATGTTTAATTATAGGATACATTAGTTACAAAGTCCAAGGAGTCACACGGAAATTTAGTCTAGCATTTATGGCACATATATATCTTCTTTTTTACTCTTTATTTATAATAACTAAATAGTTTATACGTAAGAGATATTTATATATATAATAATTATATTCAATATTTTAATGTTTAATAAAATGTAGTTGAAAAGTCTTCATATTTTTTGTGTATATAATAAATACATACATGAATTTACATTTATAATATCAAAGATGCTTACTATTATATAATTAGATTAGATTCCATGTTCTTTTATTTCATATGGTGACCTCTTTGAACAATATTTTTCCATGGGAGAAAATTACACATCCGCCACTTTTCTAACACTTGGAACCAATCAGAGCGATGCCATGAGAAGGAGATGGTTTCATTCTTCGTATCGTTGATCATCTTGAGGTACGATTCCATTCATATTTTTTAATTAGCGATACGTTTTTTTATCCGTAATAATCGCTCGGTTTTTTCCTTAAACTTTTCGTTATTTGAGGTAAATCTCTCAAAAAAAAAATTTCCCTAATATTATGAGGTGGAGAAGAAGCCATGCAGCTCTTAGAGCACTCGGTCAAAGATTCAACAAGTAATTTTATCTGCACTGTGTGATTGTGTATACTAAATGGTTTGAAACATCAAATTCATTGGGATTTTTTTTTTCCATAAGAATCGAAAAAATCCGAATAACTAGAGATTTCAATGAAGTAATGAATGAATTCAGCGACGAGAGTTGGTCGGTGATAGAGTGCAACGATGAGCAAAATGGTTTGTAGTCTGGGTGAAAAAATTATTAATTTATTCATCTGTATTTTTTAACTAATCAAATCTTTTTTTCTCATATTGTATTTTTTTTCTACCTTTAGACTGTTTTTTCTAGGATTGAATTAGTTTGAAATCTGGTTTACATGTTAATGTTGTAATATTCTTAATTTGCAGATTTTACTTTTACCATAAAAATGTAGAGTTTATATAATTTATTTTGTTTTGTATAATGTTATTATGTCTTTGGGTTGTTGTCGTTGTCGTGTGACACAATAGGCAAAATTTAAAGAATCTTAAAATAGAAGCCAAAACGAAGAAAGACGTTCATGTTGGCTAGGTAGGAATGTAGTAAATAGTTTTTTTTAGAGTTTTCATTGAATTTTACGGTTAATTTTTTTTTATTGTATATTTTGTTAGATATTTTTGTTGTCGTGAGAAACATCAAATGGATGGTTCTATTTTTAAATGGTATGCGTCGTTTGTCCATAAATTTAAACAATATTTTTTCTAGGGTTTATGACGATGACGTGGTAGAGCTCCCTATTAACGAGAGAGTTCCATAAGACCCTTTAAAAGAGAACAATATTTTCTTAAAGTTGGCAAATATATATATAGTTCGATAAGTCATTGTTATATGTGCAGATTATTGTTGTTGTTGTTGTTATTATTATTATTATTATTATTATTGTGAAGTAGATTATTGTAAACTTTCAGTTATCTTTCTATATTTTTCTAAGAGTTCATCTTTAACATTCTTTATATGTCATTTAAACTATTCAGTAATATTCAATTTTAAGTAAGAAAAAAAAAAGATTTCTCATACTACAAGAGTTAACTTTTTGGTTTATTGAATATGCTTCGCCTTGCAAGACAACCTCAATTTTCAAAGTTCCAAAATATTATTTCACATTTCTCCGATTTTATTCCTTATGTTTTTTTACCTAATTTCATGTAAATTTTGATAATGATTTGTATTTATTTTCTAATCAACTATTTTTTTGAACAAATTATTTGAAGAATTTTATTATTCTCATTGATCAAAACATATTTTTAAAATTTTAAAAGTTATTATTTAATGGGTATTTTCTTATTTTTACAATATTCAACTAAATGAGACCACAAAATAAATTGATTTTAGATATAATTTGATCGCTTATGATTAAAATATATAACACATAAATATTACATAATATTAATTTTATTTTTTATAATAAAAGTGATCAAATATTATTTGTATATAATTTAATAATATAAATCTAAAAGTAAAATATATTATATTTAATTTTTAAATTAACAATAAAATTATTTAAAACTTGCATATATATTTATTCCACACAAAAAAATTAGATAAGTTTTTCAAAATATATATTATATTTAAATTCATTTAAAAATAATAATAAATATATATTAAATTTTATTACCAAATCAACCATAAAAACGAAAACCATAATCAAATTACTCTTTCCTATTTATTCGTCTTTTCACAAGGGAAAAAAGTTGTACTTTTACCACGAGAATTTAACTTTGGCTTTGAATGGGGATGAATTTTATTTTGGATTTTTAGTTTTAGTTTTAGTTTTTGGTTTTTAGTTTTTGGCTTCTATAATATTTGAAAACTAAACAAAAAGTAGCTTTTGATTTCTGTTTGATTTTTCCACTAAAATAGTTTTCCAAGTTTTTAGGAAAAATAATTTTGTAAAAACCTGAATGATAGTTTTTTTGGTTTTTAAATTCTAAAAACTCCAACCATTAAAGGTCTTTGTCTGTAAGAAAAATCATTAGTACTAAATCGAAAATTCGCATGATAAATCTAAAATGGATCTAACAAAAACTATAAATTGTTGAGGTTTTGGTGTGAAATAATATGAAATATCAGTTTGATCGGATAAAATTCCCTCAAATTTTACTGAGTTTTTATTTAAACTTTCAGATACTTATCAAATCGAATTTGCATATTGTAACAAAAGATCAGACGGGCAGGCAAAACCGTATCAAAGTTTAAGTCTGGTAAATATCGTTAATTTCTTTGAAGTCATAACTTATATGATGGATAATTTGCGAGATGATAATAAATTTGTCATATATATGAAAAACTAAGTCAATGGTTGCATTGCAGAATAAATGAGCTTATAACAGATTGTGAATGGTCAGATAAATCAAATCGAGATGATTATAACAATAAATTTTTTTTTAACAAAGTATAGGTTAAAATAAATGAAAAGATAATAATAAATAGTCTCAATTCAAATTTATTTAAATTAAAAATTGATCGATTTTATATATAATATTATTATGACAAAATATATATACTAAACAAATTTAATATATTTTTATTTTTATTTTTTTGACTAAAAGTAACCAAATTTTATATTGTAAGCAAACTAATACAATCAATTATATTGTAATGAAGTAAATGAAATAATCATTTGATTAGTTTTGTATTTTATGAAATTGGTTGAATTAAATTCATAGATATAGATTTAATATTATAATATTATTTACTATGAGATGTTTATTGAATTAAATATTTATTTATTTATAACACCAACCAAATTTATATTGTTTGTTTAAAATTATATTTGCTAAACTAATGTTACACATATTCTATGAATATCCCTGAGTTTACAAAAAAAATAACAATATTTCATTTCGAGCCATAATTTTTTTTAAATCATTCATTCTATAATCTATATTTAAACCGTTGCTTGTATATCATAGCATTCATAATATATTTATCATTCCGTTATATCCACATTTAAAAAAAAATATTTATATCGATTTAAGAATTTGAATATCGATTTAAGAAATTGAATTAAATTCAAAAATAAAATAAATTACATTTAAAATTTTAAAACACATAACAAAATTATTTAAAATTATATATTTTTTTAGACCGCGCGTTGTGCGCGAGATTTTTTCTAGTAGACATAAAACTTTAAGTAGATTTTAGATATATAAAAAAAATTGTTTTAGTTAGAACATCACATTCGCCCCTTATGAAGCTTGGACAACAAATTTCCATTGAAAGATTTAGTGTTTTTATCAAATAAATATTGATAAAACAATCAAAATATATTTTTTTTAAAATGATCTATTCTTGTAATTTGTCCAAAGAAAAAAAAAATCCAAAAATAGGATATAATTAACTAACCTCAAACTCCATTAACACTCCATCACTAAGGTATAATGTTATTACCAGGTTTTAGCTGTCAGCTTGACAACCATTTCTATTTTAAAGATGAAATGAATGAATATTGTAATTTTGACAGTTTAAAATGTAACAATGTGTAATATTTACATGGCTATAAATTAAGAGGAAGTACATGCAATATTCATATACGTCAAATTCATCGAGATCGAAATCTGAAAAACATAACAAAGATCTCTTGACAAAGAAAGACAAAACAATGGCCAACATGAAAGTCATCTCCTTTGCTTTGCTCGTTGCTCTTCTCTTCTGCGCCGGTCTGTTTTTCTCCATAATCAAAATACGAAAAACACGATAACGATATGATAAAATCTCGATTATTTTCACATTTTGACGTGACATGCATGATCTAAAATTCGTTATTTGTGTTATGTTTTGTGATATTTTTAGATGCTGAAGTGGCGATGGGCGATGGTTCGTTGTGCTGCAACACTCACCCGAAGTTTGGGAAATGTAATACAAATCACGACGAAGAAAGATGCAACCAGTGGTGTCTCAAAGGTTGTTCGAACCAGAGGGGCGGTTTTTGCAAACATCTTTCTCATGGCGGGCAATGCCACTGCTACTGCTAATTAAGAACCAAACCAATATACTACTTTTATTTATAAACATATGTGTTCGGTTTAAATATGTTACGTACTATACATATCTATGTTTCAATCTGTTATGGAAATGAATGAATCATAAATAAAATTATTATTACTATACTTGATATTTTTTTCTGGCTTTGATACATATATCATCATCTACTATATATTTGGGATAAAGAATCCATGTCCACTAGGGGGCCCTTGAGACCGCAAGAACCCGAAAGGTGGCGGTATCAAGATGATGTTGTTTTACATCATGCATAAATTGGGTCGAAGAATTTAATCACAAAGCATATATTGGACGGTAACAATTAACTAAACGTAAAATATGTGAGAACGATATAACTCAAGATCCAAGAAATACTTCGCATGAAACAAAAATATGATGTTGTTTCAAAACTATATAATAAAGGATACCAAAATTTAAAAAAAAACATAATTAGAAAAAAACCATGCATCAATAGCCCTAAAACCATTAGTGTCCATCATCTTCTTACTGGATCTTCTTATATTTATAATTTGCTACATTTTTCGGTGATATATTATTATTGTTTGCTTGGTTTTATTATTATTAGGGAAAATAACATTTTTCTACACAAATTTAATCAAATGCTACCTTTCCATACACATATTTTTAATTTGACAAAAAGTATACTTAATTTCAAAATTTTCCAAATGTCTACACGAATTGTTAAAATTAACGGTAATTACATACATCATCATCATTTTCGTTAAAATTTTTCGGACTCTGTTAACTAATACACTGACATATGATAGTTATAGTAATTATCTAACTAATGCATTAGTTAACAGAATCCGAAAAAATTTAATGAAAATGATGATTACGTATGTAATTACTGTTAATTTTATCAATTCATGTAGACATTTGGAAATTTTTGAATTCAAATGTGGTTTTTTGTCAAATTAAAAATATATGTATGAAAAGATCACATTTTGTAGGAAAATATCATTTTTTCTTCTTATTATTATTATTATTATTATTATTATTATTATTATTATTATTATTATTATTATTATTATTATTATTATTATTATTATTATTATTATTATTATTATTATTATTATTATTATTATTATTATTATTCGATAACGTATGGTTTCGTTTGTCATGCGATTCATCGAGTTCTCTACGAAAGTCTGCAGCTTTATTAGGCGGAGCAGCTCTCAAGAGCAATTTACCATTATCTTCCTCACGAGTTTCTTGCATATTGCTAAATGCTGCAAACACATTAATTCTATCTGCATTATCGCTCCTTCGATCTACCGTAGTTCTTGTCTGTCCTTGCGTAAGAACTCATTCACCATGATTAGACGTTGCGTATCCTCTCCAAAGCTCAGTTTCCATGTCTCCTGTCTCATAATCGCCGTCTTCCTTCTTCTCCAGATCTTCTCCTTCGACCTCAGCCTGTATCCGAAGCAACAGAAGGCAGAAGCCATGAAAAACGAAACCCTCTACCTGGTGGAGAGGCTTCGTGCATCGGTGACCTTTCTTCCCCTCAAAGATCTGCGCTTTTCCGACAAGCCGCAAGAGGGGCATACGTGGTTCATGAGCTCTTTTCATGATAAGCGAGAAAAGGGCGAGGTTCAACACCAAGAGTTCCCGTCCGAATCTTCGAACGGAAGGTTGCTGTGCTTGAAGGGAAACGACGGGCACGATGGATCGTGGAATTACTACGCGTTGGCTTGGCCCGAAGCTCTTCCTTCCAACACCGATCTCCTCGAGGGATTGACGTTCGTTTCGTATAACCATTACAACTATGATAACTTGTGGCATGGGCTATCAGCTATATTTCCTTTTGTTGCTTGGAGCTTGAGAAACAAATGCGAGGAGCCCCAAAGATGGGTTTTGTATCATTGGGGTGAGATCAGGACCAAGATGGGGCATTGGCTCACTGAGTTAATCTCGGCTACTTACAGTAAAAAACCCGAAATTCTTCAGTTAGGTAATGAAAGACCGGTTTGCTTCGAGAAGGCGGTTGTTATGAGACACAATGAAGGAGGGATGTCAAGAGAAAGAAGAACAGAAGTCTACGATCTCCTCAGATGCAAAGCAAGAACCTATTGTAATCTTACCGTACCGAATCCATCATCAAACCCGCATATCGGTATGACATTGCTCATGAGGACAGGCCCGAGATCGTTCAGAAACGTCTCGGCAGTGATCGGGATCTTCAGAAACGAGTGTGAGAGGACGGGCATCTGCGAAATGATCGTAGCGAATTCGGGCAATCTCGGATTCTGTGAACAAGTAGAGCTAATGAGCAAGACAGATGTTTTGGTCTCACCGCACGGAGCACAACTGACAAACATGTTCTTGATGGACAAGAACAGCAGTGTCATGGAGTTCTTCCCCAAAGGGTGGCTGAATCTTGCAGGGGTCGGCCAGTTTGTGTACCAGTGGGAAACTAACTGGTCGGGGATGAGACACGAAGGCGCATGGCGTGACCCGGATGGCGAGAACTGTACGTACCAAGAGAACGATCGGAGATGTATGTCCATTTACAAGAACGGAAGGATTGGATGTAATGAGACATACTTTAGGGAATGGGCAAGGGGCGTTTTAGTTAGGGTTAAGGAAAGAAAGCTAGAGGAGCGTTTGAAACGCAAACGCGTTTTGCGTTCTATCCATACCTGTCAATGTTGATGGAGCTAACTGGTCTTCAAAAAGTTCAGACCAAATACCAATAAGCCATTATACAGTGTCACATATTCTCTCCCCTGTGGAAGATTTAGGACCGAACAAAACCACAACAAACACACAGAGAGACAACCTAGTCTCCAGATAACTCAGTTTTTTTTCCGGCTGATTTTCTCGTAAATTATGTCAGAGAAGAGGAAATCGAATTGCTTATAAAAGTAGAGAAGAGTAAACTTAGCACCAGACTGACCAGTCTTTGATGGTGATTCCCTTTCCTTCCTCGCCAGTTGTGCTTCCTCTGTAGTCAAGCGTCCATTTCTCAAACTTACAGTCCACAAAATCATAGTAGCCGCCGTGGATGGAAAGCAAACCCTTCTTTACTCTCTCTTCGATCCACGGGTAACTAAGCAGGTTCTGCAGTGAACAATTAACCGACTCCTGTAGAAAACGAGACCTCAAACATAAGATTCTCGTTTCTAGTTTTCTTGAATATGTAAAACGCATATCACAGCGAAAGAAACATCAGTTGTTTTCGGTAAGGAAGATTTTCACATGGCCATCAGACAAAGACCTTATGTTAAGGAAGACAAGAGCCAGCATGTAATACACATTTACCTTCTCGCAATGCTGACATTGATGATCAAAGTGGAGGTCGGAAGCAACAGTTTTCGTGCTCGCCCTTGCCCTCTTTCCGACAATTACCCAATTTTGGATGAAACTGCTGAAACGTGAAGAAACTCGATATAGTGAGTATAAACATATCTAGTGCAGTTTTTTCCTGTAATAACAAGATGGGAAGTCCATATAACCCATGAATACCTGGAATCTGCTTCGTCGTCCATGCTCATAAGGGCCCGAATTCCCCCGCAGCGGCTGTGGCCAATAACTAAGATATTCTCAACCTACACAATGAAATGCCATGATCCTTAGCTTCCCAATCGGAAAAGCTCGAAACTTTACATTAAATATACATACAAACGCGTCTTTTCTTCTCCCGGTTTATGGTTCTATTAACAAGGAAAAAGAACCCCAAGGCTGACAAATATTGATCCTTTGCTAATTTCAGGAGTTGCTAAGGAGTTTATCTTATAGAATGCTGAAAGAAGATATAAAGGGAACTACTCACATTGAGAAAATTAACCGAAAACTCCAGAGCAGCTTTTGTTTCCGAAGGTCCTGACTGGAACATCAATTAGACAAACCGGTCATATCATCAAATTGCTGCAATATGCAGAAAAATTTAATGCTTGATGAATTTTGTATACCTCATAAGGGGGTACTAAATTTGCAATGTTCCTAACAGTGAAGGCTTCGCCTGGCTGAAATCCAAGGATGGTGGAAGGACAGACCCTAGAGTCTGCACAAGCAATCACCAGAAACTGTTCCTTAAACCGTTAGCAACAAATCCCTTACCAACCTACCAAAAAAAAAAACTCTAGAGCCGAAGCAAAAAGCTGCAAGATTCAGACAACCTTTGGAAATTGAGCATCTGAAAGATTCTTGAAATGTTCCAAGTTCTCCCTGCTCAAAAACGTATTATCTCGTGAGACAACAAAAAGGGATGATACTCCTCACAAAGACAAAGCGGGCAGAAAAAAGAAAAAGAGAATCTCAGGTCTAGGTGTTCTGACACTAACATATACTTATGCTTTTTAAACATGAGAAAATGTTGTTTCATCTCATCGAACATATCAGCCTTCTTTCCAGTCTCGGCTTTAGCTTCCTGAGTTATTACAGGGGCCTTCTTTCCTGAAGCCATCAATTTTAAGTTTGGAGTTCTCCTGCGAACACCGACATGCACCAATCGACAAAACATTATCGATACAGAAAGAGGAGAGCGAGGGTCACATTGCTAGGCAGAATATCATCGGTTAGAAATCTTTTATCTTCTACCATAATATCGAATGAACAAAACGGAAAATCTAGAACTGTCACACGCAAGATCTTATCTGCGAAATTATTAGAACAAGATATAGAAATTAAGTGGCTTATTCCGACAATGACAACTTCGCTGCACCTCAAGAACGGTGATTCAGTTACAAGAAATTCCGAGCCCCGGAACAAGAAAAGAACAGAAATTTCGAGTTTTCCATACTTTACTGTTCCATTTCTGGTTACTGCTCCGAGAAAGACAAAACTAAATCATTCTCAAGGTGGGATTGCTAAGATGCTTAATTGCTTCAGGCACGTTATCTTGTTCACAATACCGAAAATTCGGGAATGCAACACTCAACCAAAAGATATCAGCCACAACACCAATCCAAATTCGCTAAGTAAACTAACACAAAAGCAAAAGGGCAAATGTACTGCCTTACTGAACCAAGGATCTACGATCTGAGTATCAGACAACAGAACAAAAAATTTGCGAGATGTTATAGAATTCGGACAAGAAAAGTTCATCAAGCCCAAATATTACCTGAACGAAGCTGAAAAACTCAACTGGGTTTTCTCAATTTCCCTCAATTTCACCTCGGAGCCAAAGATCTGCAGCAAAACGCAACAAATTGACAAACCCGGAAACTAAATCGAACCTATTTCAAAATTGAGAGGAACCAAACAGAAAATACATATCCATACCGCTTGTTTTTGCGAGTGAGCGACAGGGTTGGAACAGGCGCGATCTTTGGAAACAGTTAGGTGTCCGGAAATGGCCGCCATTAGAGGGCTTTACAAAGGAAACGCGGTGATGGGTCCGGGAATTACCAACGCTGCATGAAGTAGAAAGGATCAAAAGAGGCTTCATCCGAGAAAAAGAGAGGGATTGAGATTTAAAGTTTTGATTTTTTTTCCCAAAGGGAATAAAAAAAAAGGGGGTTTGGAAAGAAGTGGATGACAATGTTTGTTGTGGCATCGAAGAACATCTCCAACAAAGACGGAGAAACCAAAGCTTTCGTGTCATGTGAGTGTGGTCCCACCGACAGCGTCGGTTGTTTTTAGGTTTCCCTCCCTCTTTTATTATCCTTTTTTTCAACAAAAAAAATTACAAATACCATAATTTTAACAAAATAATAGAGTTCTAATAAGTAGAATTTGACGACTAGAACTAAAAAGAGGTTATTTGATTATAAATAAAAAACAATTAGAATTTGAAGGGTTAGAAAACAAGAATTGTTAAGGTTTTGTGGGAATGGGTGAAACATTCCTCAGATTTCAAAAATCAAATACCATGTATGTGGAAAATTGGTGAAAATTTCGTAGTTTTAGGAGTCAACTTTTTTATAGGTAGAATTTTTTTGGCGAATAAATAAAATATATAAAACACGATCGATAGTAATTGTAGTCTGCTATATAAAATTAAAATTGGATAGTATTTGTTTTATGACATTTTAATATTTTTTTTGTAAAAAAATAAAAAAATGTATATATTTTATTTCCCGATCAGAAGATAGAGAAAAAAAATACCTTAATTTTTTTTTTTTGGGAGTTAGCACCACATTTATTGATATTTGGACTGCAATAAAGTTAAGTTCCAATCTATTAAAAGTCCTTTTGTATTGTTGGGCCTGATGTGTCACTAATGGGGGTATGGCCCAATAGTATCTCAAGGTCCAATCTATTAAAAGTACTTTTGTGCTGTTGGGCCTGATGTATCACTAATAGGCCTGTATGTACGGGTATGGCCCAATACTATCTCAAGGTCCAATCTATTAAAAGTCCTTGTGTTGTTGGGCCTGATGTGTTACTAATGGGCCTGCACATAAGGGTACGGCCCAATACTATCTCAAGGTCCAATCTATTTGGTGTTGTTGGACCTGATGTATCACTAATGGGCCTGTACATATGGGTATGGCTCAATTAGGGGTGGGCACGGATCGGATATCCGGAAAAATCGAGAGATTTGGATTCGGATCCGGGAGGCTCGGGTATTTAACTATGAGATTTGTATCCGGGATTTGGTATTTACGAGTATCCGGGGTACGGGTATCCGGAATAATAGTCGGGTACTCGCGGATATCCGGATCCGGATTTATTTAAGAAAAACAATAATATTCATATATAAAATTTTTAAAACATGAAGATATATTTATAAAAATTGATGAATTATGATAAAATATATAAGACAAAAGAGATAATAAGAGACAAATAATAATAAATTTAATTTTTTTGAATTAATATTAAAAAAATATGAAATTATTTCATCTAAAATAATTGTATTTTATAAAAATGTTATATAAATATAAGATATAATTATTTATAATCATAATACGCGGGTACCCGCGGATATCCGGTTTTAAAAATTCTATTATCCGGATTTGGATCCGGATTCACGGATATTGAAAAATAAGGATTTGGATTCGGATTTGAAAATTACGAGTACCCTAAAATCGGGTATCCGTGAGACGAGTATCCGACGGATACCCGATTTTCGGGTATTTGTGCCCAGCCCTAGGCTCAATACTATCTCAGCCTCAGGGTCCAATCTATTAAAAAGTCCTTGTGTTGTTGGGCCTGATGTATCACTAATGGGCCTGTACATACGGTTATGGCCCAATACTATCTCGGGAGTTTTTCATACCGAGTCGCCGACTTTTCCGGCCGCGACGTTTTATTTTTCTCTGATAATTCCAAATTCATTATTTTTGGTATTTTGTTTTCAAAAAATTTCCAATTTCACCATTTTCAGAATTTTTATTTCCCGTTCCTTTTGGTTTCGCCGTTTTTTCTTTCGTCAAATTTACTGCTCGGACGAGTTACGTTTTGATTATCTTCCTCATTTCCCATTTTCTTGTTATGGGCCAAAATTTTGGACCTTCGATCTTCTTTTGTTTTCCCTTTGCTTATTTTTTTTTTTTTACGGTGGAATTTGTGTACTGATTTTCCTTATTTCCATTAATTCTTTGGGTTTTCGTGCGTAATGCCTTTCGCTTTTTTTTTTCTTTTTTTTTTTATAGAACTCTTCACCATTTGTTCTTGAAGAAATGGTTTCTGATTTGCTGTGTTGTAATTTTTGGTTTTCGTCTTACATAAACCCAAAAGAAACAGCACTTGTTTTGGGCATGTAACAACATATAAATATGTAACGTGTAAATATCATTAATAATAAATATTACATTTTTTAGACGATTTGTATATTTATAACACAAGTATACATTTAAAAAACTCGGTCGTCCATCCCTCTCCTGTCTTCGGATTTGGAACACATTTCTTCATTAAAGCTAGAAAACAAAAAAATGTATCAATTTCACTTTCTTAAAATTAAGGGTAAAATCCCGGAAAAGTCTCGAACTTGCTAAAATGTAGAAAAAAAAATCCTAAACTTAAAAAGCTATCATTTAATACCCAGATTTGCAACTTATAAGTTCACGTAAATTGGTGATTTAATAAACCATTGACTACTTTGACCAATTTTTCAGGCGAAGTTCATGTCGGATTGTTAATATCAGCACATACACGTCATCGGCTTATTAGTTTATTAAATCGGTTTTGGGATTGTTAATATCAACACATACACGTCATCGACTTATTAGTTTATTAAACCGGTTTTGGGATTGTTAATATCAGCACATACACATCATCGGCTTATTAGTTTATTAAACCGGTCCAAAACCAAAAAACCCTAAATCTCGAAAAAGAGAAATCGAAACCCTAAATGTTGAACAATAATAAGAGATTTGAAGGAAAATTGAAAAAAAAAATCCCAAACATATTCGCTGCTTCCGACATCGAGATCTTACTTTTCATCGTCCTCATCCTCCTCTAGCGTTGCCGTCCTCCATCGCCATATATAATCACCATTACCATCTCTTCGATAAGGAAGAAGAGCAAGTGATTTTGATAACAGAGATAAGACAAGGATATACGACGGCGTTTCTGAATTCGATTGATGATGGCGAAGAACTGGAGATAAATTTTTCTGGCGGCTGGACAGAGAGTTCAACAAGGTTGTGAGGTTTTACAAGTCGAAAGTGGAGGAATCCGACGAATTTAGCAGACAATTGAATGTTTCCATTGTTCTCAGAATCAAAGTGGAGAATTCAGTCGCAAATCTTCCCGACATTAATGGCTTTCACTCTTCCTTTTTTTCTCCAGAACACCAGAGCAATAGAAATCCAATGAGTTTTAGACAAATTTAGCGTCTATGTTTTTAGAATTTCTTCGAGATAAACTTAATTTTTGGTTGGATAATGGATTGATGATTCTGGGTTCCTGAAATTCCATTTGCATTTCTTCAAAGATATCAACTTTTCTTTTTTGGTACAAATTTACTACTTTTGGGATTTGTCACCGGTATTTCATTCTTGAACCACCATCTTCATCTTCACCAAATCTCTCTCTCTACACACAGACAAGGGAGATGAAGAAGGCTTGGCTTGAGAACCAGTTTGATATGTCATCGATGATCACTATGTTGCATATTGGCTTTGAATCCTTTGGGTTTGCGAAAGAAAAAGTAAATATAACGAACGAAATTTTAAAAAAAATGAATTGGGAGTTAGGTGATAAGATTAAAAAAGTTCTTGAGAAATTTGTTATTTTATTGGGAGTCTTTTAGTACAAAATAAAGGTTTGGGCAGAATTCGAAAATTTCAGAAAATATGGAACTAGACTCCAATTTTTACTGGGGTTTCTTCTTCTCTACCTTTTTCCTACCTCGCCGATCCTAGCTCTCCTAAAATCATAATTTTGCTCCAGTTTGCCTCCTTGCACGTCGTGGAATGCCGCCCACTGCCCCATTG